GCACGCTCTCTCTCCTCAGTTCGTGCCTCCTGGATGGCGGTCTCAAAGATCTCGAAGTGCTCTTTGATCATCGCATCGAGGTTCCCGTTCTCGCGTTTGAGTTTCTCCTCCTCCGTCAGCACCATGATCAGCTCCTATTAGCTACGAGCTCCTTTCTTAGCTCAAAGAACCTCACCTCGAGCTAAGTCCAGCTCACGATAAAGATTCTGAGCATTCTCGGCTTCCCGAGCTCGCTTCAGGCGGATCTCAGACTAGTAGACTAGCGAATGAATGCCAGAGTTCACTTGGAAAATAGAAAGCAGATGTAAGTATCTTTAACAGACGAACAAGGAAATAGAATATAAAGGCGAGGTACTCACCACCATGCAGTAATTGGTAGCCTGACCCCGAAGCTGACTAGTGGGCATGTCAGCCTACTCCGCGACTTCGGCAGGAAAAACGGTGTCCTTGCTTTTGAGGAGCCTGAGCCGCGGGGTCATTATGCTCTCCTTCAAGAGCTGAGGTTCGGGCACAGAAGCATTCTCGGGCTCGTGAGGCGGAGCTCCTTCGTCCTAGTCTTCGTCCAGGTCCACGATAGAAGGTTGGGGATGGACCTCCTCCTTTGGAAGCTCGGCTGAGATCGGCTCCGACGTAGCGACCTCGGGTGGGACAAGAGCTAAAGGACCAGCCTCCCGGCGATACTTCTTTGAGGCCTTCCTCTTTTTCCCTCTCTAGAAGCTCCTCAGAAGGTTTTCTGCATCAACGTCCGGCAAAGCTACTGCAAGAGAAAAAGGAAGGGGCTAGTCGCAAATTGAAATAAATACAAAATAAGAAAGAGTAATATGAGCGCCGAGGTGGAGGCCTACCAGGAGGACTCAGCCCAGCTCGCACAAGCTTCTCCTCGGCCAAGAAATCTTTCGTCTCCATGCCGAGGTCCCTCTAGGAGTTAACGACCACCCTAGTCTCCGCATCTAGCCTCATCCCAGGGTCTTTGATGGCCACCCGCCAGTGAGTCGGGAAGGGCCACTCCTCAGGGTTCCGAACAAAAAAGTACCTCCTTCAGGCCGGTACTTTGTTCGGGCTGCCGAACAGAATTTTGAACCCAAGGCGGGGGAGATGTAGTAACTATGTCAGATGTCCCTGCACAGACAAGCGGAGTTCTTCTTGATCGAACAGATCGAACTAAAAATATCTAAGGACAGAGGTTGGTTGTACTCGTGGAATAGGGAGATTGTACCAACTATAGTTCGGACGGAGTTCGGGTGTAATTGGTCAATGGTGATATCAAAGAACTTAATAATTTCTACAATGAATGGGTGGAGCGGGAAGAGCAACCCAGCTATGAGTTGCTATTCGAAAACCGCGAGCTCATGGTGACCATGAACCCAAGGGTACCGACCCAAAGGAATACTAAAAACAAAGTTATCGAGAAGACGATAACGGGCTACCAAGGACAGTAACCTGTCTGAGGTCATAGTGGAAGGGTCGAAGTCATCCGGATCCCACCACGGGAAGAAGACGGGACCCCCTCTCTGGAGGTCAGCCCCTCCACCCGAGCTTCAGGCTCCTCAGGCCGAGATGGCTCGACTTCGAGTAAAGGTGTTTCTCCTAAGAGGCGAGGGGAGGAACTGCTTGGCGAGGAGCTAACCTCGCCAGCGGGAGCCGAGGACTGCACCTCGGCACCCTCGAGCTCACTAGAGTCACTAAGAAGTCTATCTATACTAGCACTAGACATACTAGAACTGGAAAAGGAAAGGAGAACAAACTAACAAAAGAAGACAAACTCACCGAAAGGATGAAAACAGCCTCGGAACACAAAAGGAAGAAGTGGCGAGCTGAAAGACTCCGACGCGACCTTGGGAGTGCTCAATCACAATATCTTTTGGTGAAGGAGAGGGCCCCTCGGCCCCCTATTTATAGTTCACTACATGGTGATCAACGGATGAGACATGCTCGATCCAACGGCTCCCATGAAAACCGGTTGCACAACACCCGAGGATGAAATCGGTTGAGTGCGCTCTTTGACATCCGCAAAGTCTATTAACAACGTGACATCCGCGCGTACCCGGGACGCGATCTGGGTCATTTCGTAGTTGAGCCAAACGGTTGAACAGGTCCGACCAATGGTTCGCTCTTCAGATTATCTAGACCCCGTGCCAAATCCACTTAGACCCTCCATGAACTCCTCGCACCTAGTTGGGACCCCTGGCACGAGGAGTGGGGGGCAATTGATGAAAGGTGATTTGGCCCGACCTAGCGAGAAGGGGACACATGGACACGACCTGATTAAGGGATGACAACTCAGGCTGAAAAGCCTAGTTCGCAACATTTGAACTCAAGCATTCAGCCACTTCGGCCTAAAACTTACCTCGGCTTCCAATCTAGTTTGGAACTAAAGAACTAAAGTCAATCTCGGGACTAACAACCCGAATCGCCATGTAACCGACTCCCGCGTAACCAACTCCAAAGGTCTCTCCAACGGATCCCGAATCTCTCAAGATCACGATGAGCTAATAGATCTCGACTTTTCCAAGATTATGATGAGGACTCATCCCGACTCCGCCAGAGTCGGAAGTGGAACGATAAGCCTTACCTACATACTGCTCCTTCGGAAGCGGAACGAACTCTATCTCCACACCCCAGAGCTCTTTTGTGATCCCCACGACTACTTCGGTATATAAAGACTGGAACCTCAAGACAAAAGGTACACGTGATTACTCTACTGTCTAGCTCTCAAGCTCTCAAGCTCTCAAAGCATTCAACTTGCATCACAGTATACTAACTTAAGCATCAAAGCGACCTCGCCAGGTTAGCCACCCTGGGTTCTCTAATCCAATGTCTTGCAGATTCATCTAGCTCACTGCTCGATTGGAAGTCAAATCGTCCTACAGCTGGGAGTAGTCAGATCGCGCAACAACAATTTGGATGTTATTTTGGTATTTGGATGACATGGGGTATATCTAGATTCAATTATTCACATATTTTTTTAATATGTAATTTGATGTAGGTTAGACTCTGAATTTTATTAATCTCCATATTCCTTTTTTTTTTTTTGCAGGAAGTTAAAAACATCTGAGGAGTTGAGGGATGGCAGCAATCATTGCTTTGGTAAGGGTTGCTCTATTAAACTCTATATGGTAACGGTAAATCCCTTAAACCTCCCCTGGGTTTTCTAAAAAGGCCTTAAACCTCTACTCAACTTTGATAGTTTGACCTGCCCCCAAACCTCCCGACTTTTGGGGATAAGGGACTTATAGACCCCTTCAGGTACTTTTAAATGGAAAAAGACATTAAATGTTTGTTCTGTCCATACTAATTCCTCCAATTAAGGTAGTAGATTTTTCCTAATTCCAACTTTACCTTTGAACTACCGTTAATACAAGTGAATATGTTTTTGTTAAGGATTTTAGGGTATTTTTGGGTTAAAGATTTAAGGGTATTTTGGTCATCAAACATTTGATGATTTTACATAAGGGCAAATTTGGCATTATAATATGGTAAAATCCATGACATTAGCGATTGCTGTTGGTTGGATTGCTGTATAATACTTGTATATTTTATACTTGACACTCAGGTACAATACCAATGAGACAGATCTTTTGTTGAATGAGGTAAACAAGGAGGAGACCAAATGAGTTCATCATTATCGATAAAATTGTTTCTTAGCTATTGGGAATTTAGTTGCAAAAGACTCGTTGTTTCTCTTAAAGAAGTTTTATCTTTATAATAGGGTTGAGGAAGAGACCTACTACACAAATGGAAATATTAGGCTGCAGTTCTTTTTTTCCAATAAATAATCTTCTTTATCCTTCAAAAATTTGTATTGGTCTTATTAAAGGAACACCTCTTTAAAAATAAACTATGCCAATCTATCAATTTTCTTCATTTTTTACTCTCCCAATTATTCAGTATTAATCGTTAAGCACGGGTGCCCCTCTCTAATTTAGGTTAAAAAAATAATAGTGAATTTAAAAAATAAAAATGCAGAGTTTTAGATAATATTTCTTGGTTCAGAATCTTCAGAGATAATGTTATTCAAAGCATGGTTTTTAAAAACGAACCGGTGACCAAACCAGTCCAGTTCCATCGTTCAACCTAAACAGCCGGCCCATTCTGACAAAAAAAATAGAAATTAGAAAATGGTTAAAACCGTTCGAACGGTTAACCAGCCAGTTCAGCAATTTGCTAATCAACGATTTTAGGGAAAAACAGAACCATGACCGGTGACCAAACCGGTCATGGTTTTTAAAAACGAACCATGGTTTTTAAAAACCATGGTTTTTAAATGCAGAGTTTTAGATAATATTTCTTGGTTCAGAATCTTCAGAGATAATGTTATTCAAAGCATGGTTTTTAAAAACGAACCGGTGACCAAACCGGTCAAGGGTCTGATTACCAGTTCCATCGTTCAACCTAAACAGTCGGCCCATTCTGACAAAAAAAATAGAAATTAGAAAATGGTTAAAACCGTTCGAACGGTTAACCAGCCGGTTCAGCAATTTGCTAATCAAAATCAACGATTTTGGGGAAAAATGGAACCATGACCGGTTCCCAGTTTTTCGGGTCCGACTGTCTCATCCAGTCCGATTTTGAAAATCATGATTCAAAGACTGATTATCGGCTTCTTAGACAGCCTCCTCCATTGATGTATCGATCACAGTGGTTTACTCTGGACGGAGGAAGCTGTCCTTGGAGTAAAACCATCTTTATTAGCCAATTGGGAACACTGGAACCATGTGTGGGAGGCTATGCAGCGTACAACCATGCACTAGCACGACCCATAGGCCATATATGATCGTGCTGCGCATCCCAAAGAGAGTTTTGTAGACCCCGGCAGAATCCCCCAATATATTTGATATCGCTTTCCCGAGTCCATTTGCGCGCATGCGACGTAAATACACAAACAAAAAAAGACAAGACGACGAGTACATGCATCATAGCGACCCATGACCTAACCTCTACCTCTCCCTCTCGTCACACTCGAATCATCTTACCACCGTCCACTACAGCCTCATCTAGCATCCGTCCACAAATATGACATGCTTATTATTATTCCTTACAGAACCAACATTTTTAGCAACACTTTGGGATTTTGGAATAATAATAATAATTCAAACCAGCCCCTGCCTCCTATGTCCTACTCCTATCCCATTAGATCAAAGCAAAAGAGCTTTTGAAAAATGCGATGTGAAGTAACAGACTACAGTTGCTACAAGTGAAGCTTTCACTTCATGGTCCACACGTGAATCAACCTAATATCCATTGATACAGATGTGCTCATCAATGGACGACACCATTTACAGGTCGGTGGTGGGTCCCGCGCCCATTCTCATGATACAATTTGAGACTCCATACTCTCTCTCTCTCGCGCGCGCGCGTGTCTTCACACCCACGGAAAAAGGCTCTTCTTTTCTGCTTTATTGCTCTTCTTTTTTTACACCAACGTAGTTTTCGACAAAAGGATATCTCATCTAATCTTTCTTCCCAACAATTCAACGTGATCGAGACAACCGGAACAACAAAAAAATAGAGTGACACTAGCGAAATGGGATCCAGTCCCCGCCCACCAACTACGCGCATGCATTCGTATCTGATGCCAGGTTCCCCACCGGCCACGGGCCACCCCCAATCCCTACGGCCTACGCCTCCACCCTACACCTTCTCCTGCATCGCCGACAACATTCCTTCACCCGCTCCGCCCCAACACCACCACTACTCCCCCCCTGAAAACATGCAAACATACACATAAAAATAATCACTTTTTCGGTCAACAACAAAACCCTGTTTTTTTCCTTTTTCTTACTCACCTGAATCAAATCCCCCTTTTATTGGCCCATCATCTTTCTACTGATAATGAGCTAATGAAGATAGTGGGAAATAGGCTTACAATTCCAAGATGGAAATTACTGAAGCCCATCTCTCTCCACTCTTCATGTTGTGAATTCCTAAACCACCACCTATCAAGAGAATTCCTACATCCCGCCCTCTCCCATCATCTACAGCAATCTTCCATCCACAACCTTGTGCATCCCGTCCACTCCCATCATCTACAGCAATCCGCCACCAGTAAGTTTTCTACTTGAAAATATTAGTCCCCAAAGATTGAGCTTTGAGTTTCAGGGATCTCAAGTATCGGATTGCTTCATCAATGACCAACATCGCATCCTTGCCCTTCCCACCTGGAATTATGCTCTGCAGAAGGCTAACTGTCTCCCTTATCTTCTCCCTCCTCAACCGCTTGTTCCCCACCATAGTATGGCTATCACCGGTTGTGCCTTTCACACAGCTTGATTCTGCATCATCTTCATACTCCAATGATCCAATGGGTTTTGCAGAACTAGCAGTGTCTATGAATGATGCAACATCATACTCTCCTTCAAGTAGCTTCCTCCGTTTGGCTGGGCCACCAGAACTAGCAACTTCCTCTATCATTTCTTCCGTTTGGCCTGGCTTCTCATACACTGTCATGTCACTTGGGGAATGGCCTGTGCTCGTCTCTTCATCATCATCTTCACACTCATCATCTGAATTCAACAATGCATCAAGTTCCTCTGTATCTTCATGCATCTCACTTCTGTCGCGACTCTCGTGATTGTCATCCAATTCCAATCCATTGGAGACGATAGGATCAGCATAACAAATTAGATCTCTTTCCGTTGTTAATCCATGTATATTATGACCATCAAAAGGTTTGGGATTCATAGAATTTGGGCGGTCAACAGAAGGGCCAACCACGGAACTAAAAATCAAGCTTGTTTGATTGGGAGACTGATCGAAAACAAGGAACCTCTTCTGAACAGACCCAGTTGTGCCATTGGGTGCAGCCTCGCCACCGCATCCATCATTAGGATAAGAAGAAATCTTCTCTTTAGGAACATAATTAGGGCTTAGAGCCAAGGACTGGCGATAGCGTGGTAAACAATAAAACCACCCATGACGGACAATTGGCTGGGCCGTCTTTAAATGAGGTAATTCAGAAACTCCAAGCCCTGGCAAAGTTCCATTTGTAGAGACAATGTATGTGTAAGGATTTGCATAAGCAGAGAAAGGGTCCTGTCGCCCAGGATCCAGTGGAATGCCTGAGCAATTCAAGTTAGGTGATTGCCAAGCAGAAGGCTGCTGATCAAACCAAGAACCAGAATCCTTTCCCATCAAACAAGCAATCACCTAAAACACAACACCCGAGTGATCATAACTTGTTAATCTTTTCTTTAAAAGAAAAAAAAAAAAAATCAACTACTATTACTCGATAGAGAATGATGCACCTACCACAAGACAGATGACTTTGGTATCAGCAACTTTGATTAATTGCGTCTTTCAGGATCAAAGAAAATAACTACCAAACTCAAAATTAACTCTAAAGAAAGCAAACGTTCAGCCAATCTACGTGACGGGTTTAAGCAAATGACGGAAGTACTCGGCCTGCCAAACATTGAAAGAAAATGTAAGGTTCAAGATCCATCATTCATCAATAATTAAAGGAGAGATTCGAGTCTGCTAACATGTCCAAAGACATGAATTTATTAACAGGAAATTAAAGAACTATTGGGTCTAAAAAAATTAAATATCCGATTTAGTTGGCTCATAATCAATTAGAATCTTCAGTCCACAGACAAGGATGACATGGTAAATCAGTAAACCAACCTGGCAATCTTGCAAAGGTTGAAAGCACGCTATGACTCTAACGATAATGGTCGCGTTCCCTGCAATTCCATTCTCATGTTTCAACGCTCGGAATCGTGTTTGGCTTGCTGCTTGGCACACCATAACTTCTCTCGACCCTTAAGAAACCCTCAATCTACCCCAATATTAGATAGAGAAGACCCCAGAGAAACAAAGCAACAGATAGAGAAACAAAACGAGATGGAAAACCAGATTATCAGACAAAACTTAGAAGAAAAGAAGGTTAAGTTGGCATAAAAGCTTATGCAAAAGGTTCGATTTGGATTTCTTCCAGCAAACTTGCTTAGCTGATCTTACGAACGTAGCAAGGAAGAACAACAAAGAGGTTGGATCCCATGGACAGAGCAAAAGGAAGGCAAAGAAAGTAAAATTGGGCTTCAGTTAGACGTGCGATTACAGAATAACTCTACAATACAGATTCAATGAGACAACTTTTCGGAAAACATCGATGGACAGACTCAACCACCGCATGCTGCTCTCCCACTCTGATAAACAGAAGTAGCCACGACAGTCTCTCCTCTTCGTCCTAGTACCACTTTCTGAACTTCCCTGAAACAGTGTTCTTAGAATCAGATATCAAACGTAAATCTTGGAAACAATGGGAGATTTTCTTCCATACAATGCATCAAGAATCCAAATACAAATGAAGAAATTCAAGAAAAAAGAATAGGAAAAGTACGCTTTCTTTCAGGAAGAAAAGGTTTCACAACTGGACACAGAACACCAAAAGCAAAACACAAATCAGTGCAAGAGGGAGAAGTCTTAGACACCCTAAGCAATAAAGCACTTGCAAAGCAGGCCATAAAACCAAGTAAAGGAATAGAAGCATGATTCATCAGCACAACTGCACAAGGTAACTTAAAAGAATCTCAAATATCAAAACCACCACATGCGATGAAAAATTTGCGAAACAGAAAGAAGAAATCCCTAATATATTGAAAAAAGAAAAAAAACAAGAAAATTTATACATTAAAGACGGAAATGCAAACAAGGAAAATGGAGGGAAAAATGAAAGCTCAGAAGTCGAAACCATACATAACTGCAAGTGCGAGATTAAAAGAGAAAACGCGAAAATTGAAAGAAACGGACAAAGTAAAAACCATTTCTAAGAACAGAAGCGATAGAATAAAGAAGCATCAGAGATGAATCAACTTACAGTGGAAGAAAACCGTTTTCCGAGTGAACTATGAAAGCAAAGGGCTATGTTTTCCTTGTTTAACCCAAAAGAAGAGGAACGACTCTGAGATCAGAAAGCGATACTCGAGGAAGCAGGATGCAGGAGGGAGGAGAGACGAAAGAAGGGATGAAACCCGGCAGAAGATGCTACACGCAAAGCCACAGTCAAAGTAGAGAGAGGGAAAAGGGATCTGACGATTTTATAAGAGAGCAGGGGAAGCATCAAGCAAGCTTTCTTCGTCGTGAAAATATTAAATATTAATAATAAAAATATTTTTCCTCGAGATTATAGACAGCCGATAGATGGATAGAGAGAACCTCCGTGAAATCGTGAATGGTTAAATAATGAGCATTGGTCAATATCCTGTTGACCATCTGGTCGGGTTCGAACCCACCCTGGGTTAGTTTTGTCTGGACGTTCTGAACAGTGGTAGACTAGAGACTGGAGAACCGTGGACGTTTTCGCGTTTCGGTCGGATACATAGGGGCTAGGCCCTTTTTTAAGCTCTTTTTCTTCTTTTCCCAATCGAATGCGAATCTGCCCGGGAATATAATCATGCTCATGCCACGACAATTTCAATTTACAAAAAGACCCTTCAAATTAAAAACATTTACGTGCAATTCTCACCCATGGCTACGGTACAAAGGGAACCGGAAACCAGATACCCGACAGGGAACATAAAAGACTCCGGTTCCGGTTCGACCAACAAAAGAAAATAACAAGGTTTGATCCTTGATTCAAGTGGTCCAACCATCAAAAGAAAACGACCCCCAAAGATACTTTTTAGGTAGAGGTGCAATTTTTAAGGGTTAGAGTTGGAATTTTGTCAAAATTTTAATGGACCCAACCCGAAACCTAAGCCTAAAAACAGTATAAACTGTTAATTCGGGCCAATCCAATTTGTACCCTTATTTTTAGAGTATGTTCATTTTCCGGTAAATAAGGTGGATAAGTTGGTGGATCCCACAAAAAGCAAGAAACCCATGAAAACTGACAAATGCATTTATCTAAACAAATATTTATCGGAAAACATTTGTCCGAATATACATATTAAATAAATTATTGCTTAACAAAAGGCCTTAAATGCATGGAATGGAATATATTTTGACAAAGAATAGACTAGTGTTTTCTAAAGCATTTGAAGTTTGAAGAAACCGTGGCCTTGTGGGCCTCTGATTGTGGGTTTGGGCTTTTGCAACTTGCATCCAACCTGAGTTCTTTCAAATTTCATAAGCCTAAAACCATTGTTGATTCGGATAGTCGGATCATTCAGTTTGGGAATCGTTTAGACAGTTGGTTCTATTTTACTTCAAAGTTGGTTCTTGGTTAAAAACTGTTGAATTGATCAACAATTTATTCATATAGATGATTGAACCATCAATCCATTTGATCCGTTCAATGATTTTTAACTATTTTTTATTTTAATTATTTAAATCTTTTATCAAAATAAACTGTCTATTCAAACCGGATGATCAAACCACCGACCCAAAAATCAGTGGTCAGAACGATTCTGATTCTAAATCGTTTTTTAAAACATTGTCAGAAGGCATCCACGCAACCTCACCTCTAGGGCTCCAATCACATTAAAACCTCCTCTCGCCAATAATACCCAAAACAATGAAAACGATTTGAGAAGACTTTTGTTCCTCCAACTGCCAAATTGACGCAGCCCCTGTCTTCCACTCCACTTGTTTGTTTAATAGTCAATGCCAATAAAAAGTCATATATTGAAGAATCCTTGGGCTTGGTTTATAATAATTTTAATAAAAAAAACATGTAAAAAATATTATTCACCAGAATTAAAGATACTTTTATTAAAAGTTCTACTACAATGCATTAAGTATTTATCGCACACATTATATCTAAATCTTAACCAATTATATTAAAATTTATTTACTTTTATTAATTCACATTTTATAAAATATATTTTTACATTTAAGAAGATATACTTACTATCACACTCAACCAATTACATTTCTTTGCTACACCATATAGCAACAAATTCACGATAGATTTTGCCTTTTACTAATTAATTTTATACATGAATGTGTGTTCGTCTGTATAGACATTAGAACTCCAATCGTACTCATGGGCCTCTTCTACTTAAACTTCATTATGCCTTTGTGAACTATTCATGCCCTAAGAATCCTCCTTTTATAATTTGCAATCATCTGTACTTCATTCTTCAATTAATACAAGTATTCTATAGATCTTTTTTAAAAGGCTTTCCTCCCACATGCCTCATTTGCTCCCTCATAATAAGTATGAATAAATACTTGTAATATTTCTCTTCTCAGTCTAATTAATTATTAATTCATCCAAATTAAATTTTGAACATTTCCTTACAAGTGGGAACGAAAAAAATAAATAAATATAAATTAAAATAGATATATAATGGGTAGCTAGCTAATACCACAATTATTCTGTTTTCGACCGTTGAAAACATGAACTGTGAGGGCGTGGAGCAATGGGCCCATCACCTTTTTAAAGACACGAGCGATGGGCCATAGCCCACATCCAGAGCTTCCTTGCATTGATCAATGATATTCGAATTTGATGCTCTTATGGACAAGTGGGTGGCTAATGACCCCACAAAAGAGGCAAATTATTCTTATTATTTGCGTGCCACGAATGACCCATCCAACCAAGTGCAAGGTGATTATGCTTCAGGTCGACATCCGAGTGCACTTATTTGGAGAAAAGAGATACGGAGGGAGAGAGCTTGTACCCAATGGCCCAATGGCTCATGAAGCCCATACATTGTATTTAAAACAGGGCCCCACGTCAAAACCGCATTGTGGTCCAACTCTCGACTATCCTGGTTCATCTGCATGGTTCAACCACACGTATTCTAATTTCTAAAACTGAACAAAACCATCAATGCAAAACAAGTCCAATTGTTGGTTTTCCACCGGTCCGTTCGGTTCTCAAAGGATTGGCCACGTGGTGGGCAGTGAGGACCTCTGTTGGACCACTGAAAGGTCTGAACCCTGAATTCTGAACTGAACTGGCCAACACACTCCATTGATTGAGTTGGGTATGTCCCAGCCAAAGGAAATGGGAGACCCCACCAACGCTACCCTCAACTTTAGCCAAAGTTGCTAGCAGCCTAGCACTAAGCCTTACCCGAAGGAAGGTTTTTATTTGATTGATTCATTAAAGAGGTTTCAGACCCAACAGACATCGCCTCTGAGAAATGATACCAAACAAAAGCTAGAATCAAGAAGAAATAAAAAATGAAAAAGAGGGGAAGGGCGGCCATGATTCCATACCCTGCAAGATCTCGTGTACAGAAGAGATCTATAGAACCAATAACCTATGCATTATAGTACAGAGAGATGTAGATAATAAGCTCAGATCATGCTCTCTTGTTTAGAGTGGAGGGGACAAGGAACAAGCCTAATCAAATTCGTCATTTCCAAAACGTCCACGCTATTGGTAGCACTACTAAAAATCTTCCTCCTCCTAATTTGGCTGAGATGTAAAGAGAGAACGGATTCCCCCCTACCACAATAAACAAATACCAGCATTTCCTTGAGTATTTGCCTGGTTTTAGGTACGGTTGATGATCCGGTTCCGGTACCCGTCGCCCAATGACACGGGAATGGTGGGCCTGTAGTGCATTGACCACCACTAAACTCAAGTGCCAGGCCTCTTACTTAACCCTAGACTCCTAGTCTTTTGCTGGTTTGCCTTGCCATCACATCCACAGTAAAAAATTAACCACCAAAAAAAATCTTTTTTCTTTATTTTTTTTTTTATTTTACCACTAGCTTAGGGAAATGTGGATGATGATCCATCATCCATTGCAAGGCAAAATAATACACTATAGAATATCCTGGTTAACAATACAATGGCTTTCTCATTCGCATGTGGGGCCCTCCAATTTTCCTCTTCCCTTGAGATGTGGATTTGGGGCTAAATGGGCCTCCGGCCAATTCAATCTGGGGTCTGTGTGTTTATTGCTTTCAGCCCATGTTTGGGAGTGTTGTAATAAGCACTGGAAAAGCCCAAATTATGAGCTTATTTTTTAGTGCTTACTTAATAAGGGCTTATTTTTTGGCCCATTTTAACCCCTCATGTCTATACTACCCATATTTGAAATAAGTATTTTTCTACTAAATATTCACAAGTGCTTACTACAGTAAGCATTTATTTATCAAATAAACACTCCCAAAATTAGCCTCAGTCTGCTTGGTTGAGGTCCCCTCGATCAAAATCCCTAATTACAGGTATTGCTATAAAAAGTGAAGCCCATCTTGCCCGAACCTTTTCAACTGCGCCATTTCCCCAAGTTTGGTTATATGGTAAAGCTTATAGTAAGTGGAAACGGTTATTGTGGCCAAAAGCCCGACCCGACCCACATATAAAATCCTGCTGACCTTAGCCCAACCAAGCATGTGTAGCTTTGTGAAGAATGGACTAAAAAGAAAAGGCCCCTGGACAGGCCATTAAGCAAAACTTTGAGTCGTGCGGTGTGTGGGACATGGGACCAAGGAGCCATTTTGTTGTGGATTCTCCAACAAAAACTCCCACGCTTGGAAAGCCAAAACAATAACATCTTCATTCTTCACCATGCTGCACTAAAAGATTACATAGAGTGCCCTTAAAATACCCAAAAGAAACATAGTGAGCAAAGGAAGGAATCCATTCCCTCACTTTTTTTTTTTGTATTACATACTACCCACTTTAATACACTTATATATATAGAGAGATCCATTTCAACTTTATATTAACATAAACAAACAGATGGAGAGGAAAGCTCTTTACAAAGTGTCAACCCACAATCACCTTTTACTTTTCTTGGTGGCGTTAGGAGATTAGTTTAGTGGGCTCGAGGTTTAGATTGGATCATTGGGTGGGGTCATCGTTGAATCCATCACCCATCATCATACACGTGTGACAGCACACTTGTGGTGCCTCGGCAACTGATCCCATATGATCATGATGAGAGCTTTGAGGCAACTACCATTCAACCAACTACCAGATGGGCACACAAGGTGGGTTCCTTGAATTCCATCAAGTCTATTATTTTCTGCTTTTTTTTGAATGCTTTGTAGCCTTATATAGGCCACCATATTAACGTCAATGAAGCATCAATTAGGACTAGTTGTTACATGATCATGTCCCTTAGATGGTAAGAAACAATACCATCATGCTTAAACAGATGTGACTTTGAAGCAATCTTGATTTTTGATTTTTACAATGGAAGGAGATAGCATTTACTGTGTCATGTTCATTGAAATGGGTAGTTCATCAGGGCGGATTTGGCCCTCCAATGACATTG